GAGAAGGAGGGAAAAAAAATAGGAGGAAAAAAAAAGGAAAAAACAGCACAACAGCTCCTCATCCCCTCGCACCTGCTCCAAACAGGAAAAACTTGATTGGAAGTAAACAAAAGCACCAAAAGCAGCAGCCCCTCCACCTTTGTTTCTTTCACTTAATAAAATTAAGAGGAAAACACAGGGAGGAGGGGGGAAAAAAAAAAAAAAACAAAAAAAACCCACCACCACCAAACTCCACAGCTCTTCCCGGCCACCCATCTCGGGGCATCCCCCAACACAGCTCGTCCCCATCCCGTACGCAGCCCTTATTTAAACTTTCTCCCCCGTCGTTATGCACCGAACCACAACACAACCCGCGGGCGGCGCTGGGGACGGGGCGGAATCCCCGGTATGGGGGGGTTGGGGAGTGCGGGCTGGGCAGAGCAACGGCACCCCCCGAGCTCCGCATGCAGGAAATAAGAGAAAAAACAAATAGGAAAAAAAATAATTAAAAAAAAAAAAAAAAGGAAAAAAAGTTTCCCTCGAAGTTATTAAAAGCCGAGGGGGGAAAAGCGGCGGGAGGAGGGCAGGGCCGGGTGCGGTGCCCGCCGGGCGCTTACCTTCCCGGGGCGCGGAGCCGGAGCCGTGCGGGAGGAGCGCGGAGCGGTGCGGGTGCGAGCGCGGCGCGGCGGGAGGGAGGCAGGCGGGCGGAGGGAAGGAGGAGTGCTCGGTTTGCTAATTACACCGCAAGCTGGAGAGTCAGCTGCTCTGACTTCACTGCGATGGAAATGCTACCTCCAGCTGTGCGCCTTTTAATGCCATATGTTACTCCAAATCTCGCTACCAGCCAACCACAGCTTGCTGCCTTTTAAAGTTCCAGCAACCCCATTTATAGCCCGCGATTAAATCCCACAAACTTGCCCCGAGCCCGCCCCCAAGGACCCCCCCCCCCTCCCACCGCAAAGCTCGTTCCCCGCACCACCGCGGTGACCTTCGCCGGAGCGAGCGGGGGGGCACCGCGGAGCCGCTTTTCGGCCGCCCCCCGCTCCCCCCCTTTCCCGGCTCCGCTCTCCGCAACTTTGCGGGGCTCGCTCTGCCGAGGCTCGGCCGGCCCGTACTCACCGGCGGTGGGCGGCGGGGCTGTGCGGCCGCATGTGCGCGGTGCGCGGCGCTCCGCGGGCGCGGCGCGGGGCCGGCGGGGCTGCGGAGCAGGTTGTTCGCCGGCCGCTCTCGCGATACTTTCCTTCCGAGCCGCGGGTGTGAGTGAGTGCGTGTGTGCGAGTGTCGTGTGTGTGTGTGTGTGTGCGCGCGTCCCCGGCTGGTGCACACAATAGTCCCCGCCGGCCCGGCCAGCCCCGGCGGCCGGTGCGTGCTGCCGGCTGCTCCCTCCTCCTGCTCTTTCTCCTCCTCCTCCTCCTCCTCCTCCTCCTCCTCCCTTCCTCCCCGCCCGGCCGCAGCGTTGGCCGTCCCGCTCCCAACTCCGGCGCAGCCCCGCGGAAGGAGCGCTCCCCGGTGTGTCTTTCCCAACGCGCGGTGCTAGCTTCATGCATCAGGTTTATCAACTGGCGTATTTGTTACTAATTTAATCCAGCTCTTTCCTGTGATTATTTTGCCACTATTCCCTTACAGATCTCAACCACTGAATTGGGTTGGCAGTGAGTGCCAGCCTATTTGGAGCACCTTCAGTGACCGCGTGATCCCAAAGCTCTGCATAATGTAATGCCGTTATGCACAGTGCTCAAACTGGGAAACCCCAGCCCAGAATGGGGAGGTGCCCGCTCCAGTGGACAAATGAAAGGTGCTGGGGTTACATCCATCGCTGTTCGGCACAACCAAGGGCTTTAAAAAAGAACGGAGGATTTAATTCCTGCTTGGATTCTTAAGCTAGGAATCATAGATTCATAGAACATCACGAGCTGTTAGACACCCACAAGGATCATTGAGTCCAACTGCTGGCCGTGCACAGCATCACTCAAATCCAAACCCTGCATCTGAGAGCGATGTCCCAGCGCTCCCTGAGCTCCGGCACTGGGGCTGTGCCCACTGCCGTAGGCAGCCTTTTCTGTGCCCACCACCCTCTGGAACACAGCCTTTCCCTAACCCCCACTTGGCCCTCCCCTGTCACAGCTCCATGCCGTTCCCTCAGGCCCTGCCGCAGCCAGCACTGCCCTTCTGTTCCCTGTGAGGAGCTGCAGATGCCATCAGGCCTCCCCTCATCCCCTCTGCTCTGGGCTGAGCAAACCAAGTAATTGTCTGCAATTTAACGGTACTCTATTTTTAGTAAACTCATTACAGTTTCATAGTAAACCTGTGATCAGTACCCGGGTTGAAATGCCATGCCGTACACCCATGCCTGTTCCTTCTTAGCTCCTGCTCCGCACGATGCTGGCTGGCTTTCCAGAAGCTCCCAAGCCCTGTGCTTGCCTTCACGCCGGGCAGCAGCAGACACACAATGCAGGTGTTGTGCTGATTTACCTGCGCCTTATAAAATACTGGTAGTACAACTTGCTAGTGTAAACAGGCCCAGAGCGATTACTCGAGGCAAGGCAACAGGAAGAACTGCCCCAGAAGCTTTATTCTATGAACTGCTCCATTCTGAAAGCTCTTGTGAAAGCACAAAGTCACAAGCAAGCGATCTGCTTCCGGCCCCAGCCCAGGCTGGGGACCCCATACCATTCAGAACAGGCTCTGTTTTCAGCCTTACCCCGAGGGAAAGGAGCTGTCTGGCCCTCACATCCTGTAAGAAACACTGGGACCAGGGCCCAAGCAGGGGGACATCACCATCATCCCATTGCCAGATGTGGGGATGGCTGCATGGAACAGGGACGTGATGGAGAAGGCTGAGAGCTGACATATTGGGCACCCGTTGTGCCACGTGCATTCCTGGGCTCCGCTATAAAACCCTTCTGCAGTTTTAGGGCAGAGTGGAAACTTGGCCGTAATGGCAGGGCTTACCTTTGCCAGCCCCAGTCCCTGTTCTGTATGCTGCCAAAGCCCACAGAAATTAGTAGAAAACCAACTGGATTGGGTCCATGGAGCCTGAGGACTCGCTTCCATTCCTTCCCCTTTGATCCCAGGAGAGAGCATGTTTACCCAGTGGGGCCTCTCCGTCCCTCTTCGTTGGCCAAATGCAGAAGTGGTAGCAACAGGTTTTTCACGCAGTTTAATCGTTTTCTTTCTCACCTCATTGGGTAGCAGCCTCTTTTGTTTGTTTCTACATGATTTCCGTGCTTTTATGTTTTGTTTTGTTTTGTTTTTTTCCTTTAGCATGGCATCTCCTTTCTGGGAGTCTAGTCACATTTCAGAAGGAGGGGCAGGAAGTGTGTAACACTGCAGGCAATGGAGATGTTTCAGATCTATTGGTCATAGCAAGGTTGGTTTGCAGAAGTTCTTCCCAACCTTTCCAGATGTTGACTTATCCCATGCAGACATCTGCATGCATTAGAAGGACCAAGTGCTTCATCTTGTCCTCTGAAATAGCCCCGTGCTATTAAGAGAAGGAGCTGCCACTGGCATCCGTGGATCTTCCCCACTTTGCAATCTGTTCCAGCACTTACCTGAGTCAGAAGCAAGGTCAGCTTTCAGGGGTTGCCCAGTTTACATCCAAGCCATAGACAAGCAGGGTGAACTTTCCACTGATCCTGTCCTAGCACATCCTGTGGGACTCAAGGAAGCATTAACATGCACTACTGCCATTCCAGACATTAATCTGAGTATATATTGCAGACATGCTCCTGAGCCATGTGCTTATGTACATCCTATTAGCTCTATGGCTGTCCTGCTGATTCATCCCTGATAACAAAACCTTTGTGCACTGGACTGTTGGTGAGCATGTATTGCAGTGCCTTACATTTCCACTGTCAAGCCATCCTACAGAATACATAGACTCCTGTTAGCCTTAATCTGCGTATATAAATTGCATACTAACTCATATTTTCTGTTGCATCAATAAGGACAGGCTGATCTAGGAACAAGCATTAGAGGTGCAATGGGCTCTGCAGGCTCTGAGCCACCAGACACTTCCCATCGCACCTGCACTGCATCTCCAGCATCAGCAGCTGGGAGAAAGCTTCTTCCTCCTCATTATTCATCCTTCACAGTTTCACTCTGCCTGCCGAACCCTCAACTTCTGCTTGGTCTTGTTACAATCTGCTGTGTTTTGGATTTCTAGAAAGTGTAAACGAAGGTACATTTTCAGCCTGTAAAAATCTGTTGGTGTTTTTTTCATGTACAGGGCTTGTACAGGTTGAGGAAATATGTGTGGTATTGATAAGGCACGATCTCCTCTTTGGGAGGTTTTTTCCCTTTTGTCCTTGCTAATCACCCTAGCAGCCGTATTTCAATGTTGCTCTAATTTGCTTGCTTACATTCAGAATCTAATATACATTTACTTTGGAATTATCTAATACAATTAAGCAACTTGCTTCCTTTTTGATATTTGCTTTATTTATTTATCCATCCATCAATCCCCAGGAAGCAAAACCAGGAGCCCATGTTATAAATTAACAGGTGGATGGAGGATATATAGAGGGTGACAATGAGAGGCTGTAAATAACGGCAGATTGTAAGAGACAAAATTGGTGTCTGCTTTGGGACCAGGCATAAAATTCACCAGGCCCAGGCAAAACTCTTTAAATCAGCAGCTGATACGTTCTCAGATAAGCTAAGCAGCACTGTAGGGTCCAGTGTGGAGTTACAAATATTGTGATAAAGGAGAAGTTCTTAACTGGTGCTGCTCTGTTTGTAGGCAAATAGTACTCTTTGTTAACAATGCACTTTATTTTAGTAACTCCCAGAAGAAAGCAGAGCTAAATATTGCAGACGTGTTTTGCTATGTTGGAACTGGGAAATCTCACAATGGAAACACTTGCTAAGCAAAAATATAACCTAAAATAAAAGGCCCAGTACAAGTGGTGTTTGGGTGCCAGTTGAGCAGAGGTTCTTTGGAAAGTGCTTTGTCCCAGGGTAAATCAACCTCACCTCCAACTGTTACCCTGAACTTTGCGAGGCAGAGGATTGATGTACCCACCTCACTGCCTGCAAAAGGTCCCTTAAGTGGGATGAGTTGTAGGTTGTTGGGTTGGCCAACTATACTAGAATGAGCACTGTCATCCTGGTTTGATACATCTGCCATCTCAGGTGTGACAGGACTCCATCTTTTCCCAAATATGTGGCATCTAATTTTAGTCTTCTCTTGATTTTTGCTGTTCCGTGGCGGTTTTATATCAAACCAGGCTGAGCAAATATAAACAAGTGTAATAATCCCAGACACAAGTTAAAGCAAACAAACATATATACATACATCTCACTTGTCTCCATTTCACATCCGAAATCCTTCACTCATGCCCTACACAGCTCACACCATGATTACTACAACCTCTTAGCTGGCCTTAGTGATGCCCATTTCTGCCTTCTCTAAGCCACGCAGATGGCTGCAGAAATCACCTCTACTATTTCTTCATCCTTTCTTTATTCAAGTTCTGAATCACAACCAAGCTCCTTGCTCCCACCTTCAAGACCTTCTGCACATGGAGTGCTTACAGTGGCATCATCTCCTAGCCCCTTTCCCACTTACCCCGGACATTCTCTCATACCTTTGTATCATTTTTATGCTATCCAGTGGTGTCCCTTACTCAAGGATCCATGCTTCTTCACTATTTTGTCTCTAAATACATAAACTACAAGTTTTAAAATATAATAGGCTTCTTCTGCATGGGCATCTCCTCCCAGCATGTCAGCCTCTCTTTGCTCTCATTCTCCCTGATCTGGTCAGAGGAGATAGAATGAGGATTTGGGAAGAAACAGCACCAGACAAGAAGGATTTTGCGGGGGAGTGGAAGCTGTGTGCAGAAGGAAGCTGGGCTCATTGTGCTCCCAGCCTCCACTCAACTCCTTTGTGAGCCTGGGTCCAGACTGGGCTGAGAA